TGTCTGCATCAGATGTCCAGCATCGTCGTAACAGCACACTTGCCCGTAGTGAGTGGGAAAACGCCTATAGCATAGAAACGTAATTATAAGGTAAAAGGGCAGTCATCATATTCAAAAATATTTTTCCACTCAAACGCAGACTTCACGAATCTTTTAAACCTCTTCTAGTGCCTTATGGTAAAATTTAATTTGAGAATTGGGCGCCTACTTTGCAGATTCGCTGTAGAAAGGAAGTATGGTGATTTTTAATTGAAAAAATAGGATATCACTCATTAGGATCTGAGTATCCTGGAATTTTGCACAATGAAGTCGAAACAGTTAAACTATAACTTAAATGGTTCCGACCCTTATAAATAACCTTACACACGTTACAAAGTGTGTTAATTATGAAAAATTGGCCTACAAATGGTTGCTTCATAGCAGATACTTTTTTGAAAAAAGTTAGCATTACTAACGCTGTATGCTCGCTTTCAAATCCCCGTCCTGATCCAGCATATGATCCGTAAATATTTTGAGCTGACATATAACAATTTCTTGCTCCAATAGCTGCTGTACAGGTGATATCACGGAATGCCTGAACAAATTAGTAGTTTTGATTGGGTACCCTGAGATTGCGAGCATGACTCTCAAAATGGCAATCAACTTACTTGTGAGCATCTGGGATGTGGCATGAAACGACCCAAATCGGCCATTGCCTGCTTCTCTATGCATGGACATGAGGAATTCGTTTCTGTGTCGCGGATGAAATTCCATTGGGCACCATCCTCATTGTACCTAAATTTGTAGCGAGTTTTACGTTTGCAAAACTTCTAAAATTACGGAAGACAGTGCTTACCAATCATGACACATTTCAAGTGATTTTTGCTTGACAAACTCCACTCTAGCACTTTCGTCATTCTGCGAATAAGTTGTTGTTGAAAATTCAGGGTTATTCGTGGTCCAAAGCCAATGTAAAGAAATCGGCGCCGACACAAGGCTAGAAGTGAATTCGTGAATTTTGGAGTTTGGAGTTGGAGTTGAACCACAAAATTTCGTTTACCCAGAAAGAAGAGTTTGTGGTTGATTCTCTATTTGATTCGGTTTTAT